CTCTGTGTGTGTATGTAGTCAGGTCATCATCAGTCTGTTTCATTCTAAGAGGAGGTGTGTCTGGATAGTATGCTGGGAGGAGAATGAAAAATTCAAACTGCAGCTGTTACCTTCTTATATAAATAAGATAATATGGAGGTGACTCTGAAATCCACTCTGGGATAAAAACAAAACATGTCATTTCTACATGTGACTTGTATTAGGAACTTTCGCAGCAGTCCAATCCTGGAAGAAAAGAAGACCAGTTACATGCAGAGTAAAAACAGTTACATTGTATATGTGTGGGGAGAAGAAGGAATCTCAGGGGGAAAGAAAGTTTTCTGTCATAGATGCGAGGTCACAGAGGTTCTATAACCTTTTGACAACAACAGTTTCTCACAGGCCTAAACATGAACTACTTTCTGGTTGTAGAGTTATTCAGAGCATACATCTACATCTGAATGTTCCCTCCCCCCCCCAACTTCTGTTATTGTTACAAAAAAAGCGCTATGTAATGCGATTTTAAAAGACTAGCCAAAATAACACAACACATTATGAGTAAGCTTTGAGTTCTCCAGAACTCTTTATGAGAGTGGATGTTAAAAAGAGAGGGAGTTAAGGGGGAAAAGGTCTCTAGGCCATAATATCCTAAAGCCCCCTTGTGTAGGATGCTTTCCTGAGTTCAGTGGCCAGAGGGTGTGGCTAGTTGGTGTCTAACTGCACTCCTGCTGTGTGGAAGGAAGCAGCAAAATGGAAGCCATTACGACTGGCACGGCAGTACACAAGGAGGGTGCTTCTAGAGCGGCAAAGGTCTTGAGCTATTCATGCTTTAAGCCTATCTTTGCAGCCATTAGATCTAGGCTTGCTTTTTAAAAACAAAAACTGAAATTCTCAAAATGCTGTATTATGCATGTAATACCAAACTGGATCCTTGCACTGTGCTTTTGGGGAATCACAACATCTCTATAGCCGAAGAAGTTAGTCCCTGGACCTGGTTTTTTGTATGTGGGTTTCCATTCTGTGCAGCATCAGTTCAGATGTTCTGGCAAAACTGCTGTTGTAACCCGCCCTAAGCCCGTTTACGGGATGGATGGGATATAAATGCGAAAAAATTAAAAAAATAAATCATACCAGGGCTGATCAGATGCGACCTACTTTGCTGCAGGTATTACTTGCTGTGCCTGCTCCCACTTTATTTGCAACTTCTTGAGGCAAGAGAAAAGTAAAAGTAAAAGTAGAAGAGGTGGGCAGTTACTTCCTCCTTGCAGCTCACTTTAAACAGATTCAAAGCTCTTCGGAAGATTAGTTTTGTCATCACCCACTGGATTGTTTAAAATCTATTTTTAAGAAGGCTTTTAATTTCCTGTTTGCAGGAGAAAGCTGAAGAACAGTTGGAACAGACAGAAGTACTGTGACCAAATCCTCTCTTGAAGCATGCACTTTATTTTTCATTTGATCATGTGTTGCTGTTTGAAAGTATCTGTGTGACAGCTGTCATTTCCCAAACTGAATACTGAACTCAAGTTAGTATTAGAGACCAGCAGGGGACACTAATTGTCAGGGTCTGAAAATCCTCTGGTTACAAAACATTCATCCAACTGTTACAAAGTCACTCCCAACTCATGAGCAGTGGGCATTACTTAAAACAGGCACATGAAAACCAAAAGACTTTTTGACTGTTGTAAAGTAACATATTAACCAATCATGAGGCTGTGTGAAGAATGATCATTCTTTCCAATGATCATTCTGTACAGGTATCAGACTTTTGACTGGAAAGCATTCAGAAGGTTATTTATTTCAGGGCCTGGTGAAAACTTTGTATCCCAGCCAATGATCACTCTGTGTTGTCTTTTAAGATTTTTTTTTTTATAATCACTGTAGTTACTCTTGAACAGATTAAATAAACCAGAATCACAATTATACAGAAAACACTAGCATGTGTGAATGAAATAATAGATTTTAAAAGTATACATGTTCAGGGGTCTTTTTGTAGAAAAAGAGCTGCAGGAGCTCATTAGCATAACTCATTAGCATATGCCACACCCCCTGACATCACCGGAAGTGTGTCATAAGGCCACACCCCCTGACATCACCAGAAGTGTCATAAGGCCACACCCCCTGACATCACCAGAAGTGTGTCAGAAGGCCACACCCCCTGACATAAGCCTTCTAGAGGTGTCCCCATTTGGAAGAAAAGCAGGGTTATCAATGTGCACAGATAGACAGAGAGACAGAGGAAGAGACAAGGGACTGTTCTTTGCAGTAAAAGCCAGAAGCCTCCTTTAAATAAAATCTAGCTCTGAGCCTCTGGCCTAAGACAACTGCAGATCTGCTTTCCCGAGGATAAAATGGACGGAGGGGCAGTGTTGTCACCTGCTCTGGGTCCCCACTGGGAAGAGAAGTGGGGTACTAATGAAACTCCTGAGCCCCTTCAAAACAGGTGGGGTCAAAACTTGCTACATAGATAGATTTATCACCAGGGGCTGCAGTGATTAAAAATGAGTTGGTTTGTCACCAGACAACTGCAGCAGGCCTCTGAGTGAGCTAGTGATGGCGTTTCCTAGAACTGCCTTGGG